GCTCCCGGCCCGCGGTCCGGTGCGTGGTGCCCGCCCTCTCTCTCCCGGCCGCCCGGCGCCCGCGCAGCTCTCCGCCCCTTCACCTCTCACCTCCTACCTTTCCCCTCCCGCCCTCACCGCCCCCAGCACGTGCTCTAGCGGCGCGCACATGCGTAGTCGAGCCCCGCCCGTGGCTCCCGCTCGCCCCCTGGCGGACGCCCGCCACGCCACCCGGAGGGAGGGAGAGGTGGCGGCCCTGGGGGGCGGGGCTTGAAGATGGGGCAGGGCCCCGTGGACCGCACCAGGAGAATTACCAAGAACGTGCGCAAGATGCCTAGGTCCCCGTTTAAAACAGCAAAAAATTAAAAACAACAATACAGATGCACAACAAATACAGATGGATCGAATAAATTCTGTCCATTTCCCTACAGCCTTTTTTGTTTTAAAGATTTATTTATTTGAGAGAGAGAGAGCACAAGAGGGGGGAGGGTCAGAGGGAGAAGCAGACTCCCCACTGAGCGGGGAGCCCGATGTGGGACTCGATCCCGGGACTCCCGGATCATGACCTGAGCCGAAGGCAGTCGCCCAACCAACTGAGCCACCCAGGCACCCTTCCTATAGCCTTTCTAAAGGACAAGTTTTATGAATACTTACTGATGTTGAAACCTGTTCCTGAAAGATGGTTCAAAATGAACTGTAGAGTACGATCTCATTTTTATTGAAAGCCATCCACGGAGAAGGAAGGGTCTGGGTGCTGCTGCTGTGTAGTGGGTGGATATATCTGGGTTGCAGATTTAGGGTTTTGGGTTTTTCCGTTCTCCGACGGGCATTTAACCATTTTACACGGACTGTGTCTTTGTTGGAATCGCATAGCTGCATCCACTGAGCGTTTACTCTGTGCCGGGTGCTGAGCTGAGCACTTACCTGAGCATCCCGAAAACCCCGAGGGAGGTCTCCTTACTGAGTCTCATACAAGGGGAACGGAGGGGGGCTTCACCCGCTGTGGGGACACGGGTCCCGGCCCGCCCAGCGCTGGCCAACCCGGGATGCTACGCGCTGAGGCTGCCCGGGGTCCGCACTCAGGGACCTCGATCGCAATCCCCTTGCCCTCAAGGGACCGGATCTCGAGAGTCAGGGATCAGCCCCGCCCCAACCCCGCTGCCCTGGGCACACTCAGCTCAGCCGCACCCACCCCAGGCAGACCCTGCTCCTGCCCTCAGAGGCCGCAGCTCTGGGATGGCATAAGGTGTAGACATAGCCACAACTCGAGGTGGGACTCAGAAGCGGCCCTTCTGCCGGTCCAGCCCCCTGCCCCCTTCTAAGCCTTCTTCAAAGAGACATACCCCCTCCTTCACACCCATTCATTTCCACTGGACTCAGGACCACCTCTCCAAGGCCACCGGTGTTTTGACTCCCTCCCTGCCCACCACACTATTGTCAGAGGGAAATTAAACAATAGTGGGGACAACTGGCCTTGGTCTAAAGTGGCCTTTAAGATTTTGCCCTGTATTCAGGATTGGCTTCTGGTTTCAGATGGGACTTTGGAGAGGGCACCTGGGGAGAGTACTCGAGTAAAGTCATTACAGTTGATTATTTCCTTGTTCCCTTCTCGGTGAGTGGTCGGATCATACACACAGCCCTGCCCTCTGTCGAGCAACTGTGGTGTCTCCCTGGAGGGTGAGTGCACTGCCCTCTCCATTGGCAACTTTGGCCACCTGTCTGGCTTTGGCCAACAGAGTGTGAGTGAACATGACCTGCATGGGCCTGGCAGAAGCTCTGAGCCACTGGCTGGGAGGATGAGCCTCTCATTCTCTCCCTTAGCCAGGGGGACAGCAGTGCCACATTGGGACTGCTCCTTCCAGCTGGGTCCCAGAATGAGAGGTCATGGAGTGGAATGGAAGCAATGCCCCACAGTTCCAAACATGTAACTTAAATGAAGAATATGTCTGTACATTTAAGCCACTGGGATTTGGAGGCTGCTTGTTACTACAGAAGAGTTGTAAGTGGTGGAGTCAGGGTCCTAGCCTTGGTTTTTTAAAATAAACTTTACCTGTTTTAAGCGTTCAATGATTTCCAGTATATGCGAAGTGCAACCATCACCACATTCTAACCTTAGAACATTTTCATCCGGCCAAAAAGAAACCTACTGGAGGTAGGTTTCCCATTCTCACACCCAGTCCCATGGAATAGTGTGCTATCAGATCTTTTGTGTCTCGCATGGTGTTTTTGAGGTTTATCCATGTTGTAGCATGTTGCAGCACTTCATTCCTTTTACTTGCCAAATAGCATTCCACTGCAGAGCTGTACCGCTTATTGTCTGTCTATCCATTCATCAGTTGATGGATATTTTGTTTCCACTTCTGGGCCATTATGAATAACACTGCTGTGAACATCCACATGCAAGTGTTTATGCTTTCATTTTTCTTGGGTATATACATGGGAATTGAATGGCTGAGTCATATGGTAAATCTATGTTAAGAAACTTCCAAACAGGAGCGCCTGGGTGGCTCAGTCGTTAAGCGTCATGATGCTGGGGTCCTGGGGTCAGGCTCCTTGCTCAGCAGGGAGCCTGCTTCTTCCTTTCCTCCCTGCTCATGCTCTCTCTTGTTATCTTTCTCTCAAATAACTAAATAAATAAAATCTTAAAAACAACCAACCAACTGCCAAACTGTTTTCCAAGGTGGCTGCACCATTTTACATTCCCACCAGCAATACCTGAGGGCCCCAATTTCTCCATCTCCTTGCTAACCCTTGAAATTGTCAGTCTTTTCACTACAGCCATTTTAGTGATTACACAGTGGCATCTCATGGTGGTTTTTATTTGTATTTCCCTAGTGGGTAATGATATTGAACATATTTTTATGTGCCTGTTGGTCATCCCCATGTCTGCTTGGGTGCGATGTTTGTTCAAATCTTTGCCTATTATTTTTTTTTTAAAGATTTTATTTATTTATTTGACAGACAGAGAGAGAGACACAGCGAGAGAGGGAACACAAGCAGGGGGAGTGGGAGAGGGAGAAGCAGGCCTCTTGAGGAGCAGGGCGCCCGACGCGGGGCTTGATCCCAGGACTCAGGGATTATGACCTGAGCCGAAGGCAGACGCTTAATGACTGAGCCACCCAGGTGCCCCTCTTTTGCCTATTATTTAACTGGGTTGTCTTCTTAACGAGGTCTAAGTTTTTTATATATTCTGGACACAAGTCTCTTATGGTATATACGATTTACAAATAATTTTGTAAAAAAACAGAATGATAACTATTTCAAAAATAAAGTACTAAAACTGGCACAACAAAGAAAAGTTATCATATATAAAGACCAATAACAAAGAAGTATTTTTAAACTACCTCCAAAAAATTACTTGACCTTGACCAATGCAAGTCCTAATTCGGGAAAAAATACACTAAGAATTTCAGTGCATACAAAAGGTAGCAAATTCCTCAACATGGTTTATGAGGCATATATTGCTCTTTAAAAAAAAAAAGATTTATTTATTTATTTAAGAGAGAGAGAGTATGGAAGGGGAAGAGAGAGAGAATCCTCAAGCAGACTGCCTGCCGAGTGCGGAGCCTAACGTGGGGCTCAAACCCAGGACCCTAAAGATCATGACCTGAGTCAAAACCAAGAGTCAGATGCTCAACTGACTGAGCCACCTAGGTACCCTGAAGCATATATTGTTCTAATGCTCAAACACAGCCAAGCTAACGGATAAGCAAAAAATTATACTTCATGTTTGCTTACAAATACAGATTGCACAGTATCTCAATAATATTAATTTAAAAATCTTAGCAAGGGGCGCCTGGGTGGATCAGTCATTAAGCGTCTGCCTTTGGCTCAGGTCATGATCCCAGGGTCCTGGTATCGAGCCCCGCATTAGGCTCCCTACTCGGCGGGAAGCCTGCTTCTCCCTCTCCCACTCCCCCTATTTGTGTTCCCTTTCTCGCTGTGTCTCTCTGTGTCAAATAAAATAAAAAATAAAATAAAAATAAAAAATATAAATCTCAGCAAGCCTAACATAAACAGCAGGTTATAGAAACTACAACAAATACCAGCAAGAAAAAGCTGTAAAAGGAACTTAGGGCTCACACAACAGAGAGATGCTCAACACATCCACAGGATAAATAGTGCCATTACCTCAGTGAGGCTGAGAAAGTACAGAGTTCACTAATGATTACTGGTTAAACTCTAAAGAGGGGCGGGGTGCAGGAGATTGAGGAGGAGCATTTCTTTTTCCTTTCCCTTTCCAAGGTTATTTCACTGACTTGATAATTTATGTATTTTAAAAACTAAGAATTACTATAAAAATGCTTCCTATTCCCAGGGCACCTGGGTGGCTCAGTCGTTAAGTGTCTGCCTTCGGCTCAGGTCATGATCCCGGGGTCCTGGGATCAAGCCCCGCATCGGGCTCCCTGCTCTGTGGGAAGCCTGCCTTTCCCTCTCCCACTCCCCCTGCTTGTGTTCCTGTTCTCACTGTCTCTCTGTCAAATAAATAAATAAAATCTTAAAAAAAAAAAAATGCTTCCTATTCCCTTAAAAACAGAAATTAAGACAACAAATACCTTCACATCCCTCTTCACAAATTTCAAAATGCTGACTAAAGTTATTCAGGGTAAATAAACTACTGGAGCTATGTCAAACTAAAAAAACTTTTGCATAGCAAAGAAAACCATTAACAAAATGAAAAAACAACTGACTGAATAGAAGAAATTTTTGCAAATAATGTATGTGATTAGGAGTTAATATCTAAAATACATAAAAAAGGGCACCTGGGTGGCTCA